CCCGGTTCCCTCAGAGCCTCCTCGGCCCCGGTTCCACCGGCGCTTCCCTCAGAGCCCCCTCAGAACCCCCGGCCCGTTTCCCGCCGTTCCCTCGTGCGCTCCCTCAGCCCCAGCCGCCATTCCCGCGCTCCTCCCGCGCGCTGTCCCGGTTGCCGGGCTCTGTCTCCGCTGTCCCCGCCGTTCCCCCGCCGTTATCCCGGCCCCGTTCCCGCACCCAGCGGCACCTTCAGCTTGTGCAGCTCCACCGGCTCCGCCGCCATCTTGGCACCCCCTACCGCCGGCTCCGCCCCCTCACACCGCTCTGACCAATCAGCGCCGCGGATCCTCCGCCGTCCAGCCCAAATCCGCCTCTCTCCATTGGTCAGCGCTGCCCGTAGCACTCACCCGTGATTGGTCTGTCGGGCCCTAGGAGGCGGGGAGACGCTGACTGACGTGCAGATCAACCAATGGAAGGAGAGAAATGCTGAGGGACGGCCAATGAAAAGAAAGGGCGGGAACGAGAATTTCCGGGAGGTGAGGCCGGGACCGGCCTGCGGGGTCATTGAGGGGTTCGGTTGTAATTAATAGATTATTGTTAATTGTCGTGTTTTGTTAAACTATTAATATCATTAGATAGAGCTGGATATTTATTACTTACTGTCTCGGGTTATTACATGTTTATTGCTTATGGTGTTGTTACATTCTTTGTGATGTTATTATTCATCAAAGCGTATTATTTTTTAGGATTTAAGCTCTTTATCATACAGATACCAGGTAAAATTTGTTCATATTGCAGTTACTGAATTATTCTACCGTGCAATAAATATTTTGTACTAATTCTTTATTGTAAATTTGCTCGTTAATTATCCTTTTTCACCCAGGGGTGCAAAGCACAAATTTGGGGGCATTTTCCAGAACATTCCAAAGTTTCTCACTCCCTTCCCCACTCCAAGTGCTGCTGGTTTATTCCGATATTACATTTATTATAACTTTATATTTTTATTTAGTAGTACTGCGTATCTTATTATTACTCATGAAAAGCATTTCAAGTGTCCAGAACAGCCCGTGTTTCCCACAGTTCCTGAGCCACAATCCCGCCCCATTAATTATTAAAGTAATTTAAATATTCCTCCCTTTTGGGTAGGCGAGGAAGCCGCCATGATGGGTGTGGGGGAGTCCGCCATGATGGGTGTGGGGGATCCGCCATGATGGGTGTGGGGGATCCGCCATGATGGGTGTGGGGTGTCCGCCATGATGGGTGTGGGCGTGTCCGCCATGATGGGTGTGGGCGTGTCCGCCATGATGGGTGTGGGCGTGTCCGCCATGATGGGTGTGGGCGTGTCCGCCATGATGGGTGTGGGGGTATCCGCCATGATGGGTGTGGAGACCTCCATGATGGATGTGGCCATTTCACCGTCGGGCCAGGCCGTGTCTCCCGGACTAACCGGACCCGTCCTCACCCCACGGGTCGGTCCCGGCCGCTCCGGACCCTCCACAACCCCGGTAACGGCGCCTGAAGCGCCACGAGAGCGGCCCTGCCCACACTCAAGATGGCGCCGCACCCTGAGGCCTCACGGGGACCTTCAATATGGCGGCGCCCGCCGCTGCGTCAGTGACGTCATTCTCTTTCCGGCGCGGACCGGAAGTGGGGCGGCCATGGCGGCCCGGCGCTGTCGGGGCTGGTGAGGCCGGGGGGGCCTTGGGGACGGACCGGAAGTGGGGCGGCCATGGCGGCCCGGCGCTGTCGGGGCTGGTGAGGCCGGGGGGGCCTTGGGGACACCGGGGGGGATTTGGGGACACCGAGGGGACCCTGGGGACACAGGAAGGGCCGCACTGAACCCCCAAAGCGAACCTTGTTCCCACAACCCCCCTTATCAAACCACCCCCGCTTTATTTATAAATACAAAAACCACCACTCCATTTCTTTAAAAAACCCAAAAACAAAAGAAAAATAGATTTTTATTCCAAGCCCTTTTTTTTTTT